CTCTGCTTAATATCCACGAAATCCATACACTTCTTAGAGCCATGAACCAAAACAATGGTGAGTGCTTTTGGTGAGATGATGGATGGTGGCCTCAATCAACCAGTTCAATGTGCAGGGTATCACCAACACACCGTTGTTTTATTGATGGTGCCATCAGTCATCTCACCAAAGCACCGGCCATTATCGTGCTGCTACATATAGTATATCACTTTCTGACATTGGAGGTTCTGAGATCCATCTGCTTAATATCCATGGGATCCAATACACTCCTTACCGCCATAGGCCTAAACAATGGTGGTTGCTTTTGTGAGATAACAGATGGCACCATCAATAAACCAGTCCAAAATGTAAGGTATCACCAGCACACCATTTTATTGATGGTGTCTTCTGTCATCTCACCAAAGCACCCACCATTCATGTGCTGCTACATACTCATATCACTTACTGACACTCAGCATTTCAAGATCCACCTCCCTAATATCCATGGGATCCAATCAGGGGCGGACTGACTACTCATGGGGCCCCCAGGCAATAGGGGATCATGGGGCCCCTGTGTCCTTGCCCAAACTCAAAAAAGTCTATGAAAAAGGTACCAGGGGCATCTCATGGGGCCCCCTACTGACCCCGGGACCTCGGGCAGTGCCCAAGTTTCCAAATGGTCAGTCTGCCCCTGGATCCAATGCACTTCTCACAGTCATAGACCTAAGCAGTGATGGGTGCCTTGGAGAGATAATGGATGATGTCATCAATAAACCAGTCCAAAGTGCAAGGTATATTTTTTTTACTGATGGTACCTTCAGTCATCTCACCATAAAACCCACCATTATTGTGCTACTACATACTGAATAGCACTTGCTGACATTCAGGGTTCCAAGATACCTCTGCTTAATATCCATGAAATCCAATACACTTCTTAGAGCCATGAACCAAAACAATGGTGAGTGCTTTTGGTGAGATGATGGATGGGTGGCCTCAATCAACCAGTTCAATGTGCAGGGTATCACCAGCACACCGTTGTTTTATTGATGGTGCCATCAGTCATCTCACCAAAGCACCCGCCATTATCATGCTGCTGCATATATTATATCACTTTCTGACATTGGAGGTTCTGAGATCCATCTGCTTAATATCCATGGGATCCATTACACTCCTTACCGCCATAGGCCTAAACAATGGTGGTTGCTTTTGTGAGATAACAGATGGCACCATCAATAAACCAGTCCAAAATGTAAGGTATCACCAGCACACCATTTTATTGATGGGTGTCTTCTGTCATCTCACCAAAGCACCCACCATTCATGTGCTGCTACATACTACTCATATCACTTACTGACACTCAGCATTTCAAGATCCACCTCCCTAATATCCATGGGATCCAATCAGGGGCGGACTGACTACTCATGGGGCCCCCAGGCAATAGGGGATCATGGGGCCCCTGTGTCCTTGCCCAAACTCAAAAAAAGTCTATGAAAAAGGTACCAGGGGCATCTCATGGGGCCCCCTACTGACCCCGGGCCCTCGGGCAGTGCCCAAGTTTCCAAATGGTCAGTCTGCCCTGGATCCAATGCACTTCTCACAGTCATAGACCTAAGCAGTGATGGGTGCCTTGGAGAGATAATGGATGATGTCATCAATAAACCAGTCCAAAGTGCAAGGTATCTTTTTTTACCGATGGTACCTTCAGTCATCTCACCATAAAACCCCCCATTATTGTGCTACTACATACTGAATAGCACTTACTGACATTCAGGGTTCCAAGACCCCTCTGCTTAATATCCACGAAATCCAATACACTTCTTAGAGCCATGAACCAAAACAATGGTGAGTGCTTTTGGTGAGATGATGGATGGTGGCCTCAATCAACCATTTCAATGTGCAGGGTATCACCAACACACCGTTGTTTTATTGATGGTGCCATCAGTTATCTCACCAAAGCACCCACCATTATCGTGCTGCTACATATATTATATCACTTTCTGACATTGAAGGTTCTGAGATCCATCTGCTTAATATCCATGGGATCCAATACACTCCTTACCGCCATAGGCCTAAACAATGGTGGTTGCTTTCGTGAGATAACAGATGGCACCATCAATAAACCAGTCCAAATGTAAGGTATCACCAGCACACCATTTTATTGATGGGCGTCTTCTGTCATCTTACCAAAGCACCCACCATTCTTGTGCTGCTACATACAGTATATCACTTGCTGACACTCAGCATTTCAAGATACACCTCCCTATTATTCCTGGGATCCAATCAGGGGCGGACTGACTACTCATGGGGCCCCCAGGCAATAGGGGATCACTCCTTACCGCCATAGGCCTAAACAATGGTGGTTGCTTTCGTGAGAGAACAGATGGCACCATCAATAAACCAGTCCAAAATGTAAGGTATCACCAGTGCACCATTTTGTTGATGGAATCTTCTGTCATCTCACCAAAGCACCCACCATTCTTGTGCTGCTACATACAGTATATCACTTACTGACACTCAGCATTTCAAGATCCACCTGCCTAATATCGATGGGATCAAATGCACTTCTCACAGTCATTGACCTAAACAGTGGTGGGTGCCTTGGAGAGATGATGGATGGTGTCATCAACAAACCAGTCCAAAGTGTATGGTATCTCCAGCGCACCATTTTTTTTACTGATGGCATCTTCAGTCATCTCACCAATGTGCCCACCATTATTGTGCTGCTACATACAGAATATCACTTGCTGGCACTCAGGATTCCAAGGCCCATCTGCTTAATATCTATGGGATCCAATGTACTCCTTATAGCCATAGACCTATGCAATGGCGGGTGCTTCGATGGGATTATGGATGGTACCATCAATAAACCAGTCCAAAGTGCCATCTCTAGCACACCATTGTTTTACTGATGGTGCCTTCAGTCATCTTACCACGAAACCCACCATTATTGTGCTGCTCCATACTGAATATCACTTGGTTACACTAGGGTTCCAAATCCATTTACTTAATATCCACAAAATCCAATGCACTTCTTGGATCCATGGACCTAAACGATTCCGGGTGCTTAGGTGAGATGATGGATGATGGCATCAATCAACCAGTCCAAAATGCAAAGTATCACCAGCACACCATTGTTTTATTAATGGTGCCATCAGCCATCTCAGAAAAACACCCGTCATTATTGTGCTGCTACATAAAGTAAATCACTTGCTGACATTAAGGCTTTGGAGATCCATCTGCCTATATCTATAGGATCCAATGCACTCCTTACAGCCGTAAACCTAAACAATGGTGGGTGCTTAGGTGAGATGATGGATAGTACCATCAATAACCAGTCCAAAGTGCAATCTCTAGCACACCATTGCTTTACTGATGGTGCCTTCAGTCACCTTACCATAAAACCCACCATTATTGTGCTGCTCCATACTGAATATCACTTGCTGATACTCAGGGTTCCAAGACCCATTTACTTAATATCCACAAAATCCAATGCCATGGACCTAAGCGATTCTGGGTGCTTAGGTGAGATGATGGCATCAATCAACCAGTCCAAAATGCAAAGTATCACCAGCACACCATTGTTTTATTGATGGTGCCATGAGCCATCTCAGCAAAACACCCGTCATTATTGTGCTGCTACATAAAGTAAATCACTTGCTGACATTAAGGCTTTGGAGATCCATCTGCTTAATATCCATGGGATCCAATGCACTCCTTACAGCCGTAGACCTAAACAATGGTGGGTGCTTTGGTGAGTTAACAGATGGTGCCATCAAAACCAGTTTAACGTGCAAGGTATCACCAGCACACCATTGTTTGACTGATGGCATCTTCTGTCATCTCACCAAAGCACCATTGATGATGCCATCAGCCATCTCAGCAAAACACCCACCATTATTGTGCTGCTACATACTGTATATCACTTGCTGACACTTTCGATTTTGGATATGTTTAAATTCATTTCTATTGTTATTTGGAAATTCGGATACATCCAAATTGCTGAATAATGAAAAGTTTGACAAAATTTCAATTTGTAACGAAATTAACCGCAGATGTCTAGTCACCAAAGCACCCGCCATTGTTTAGGTCTGTGGCTGTAAGGAGTGTATTGGATTCTGTGGATATTAAATAGATGGATCTCGGAATTCTAAATGTGCCAGTGAGTAACATACAGTATGTAGCAGCACAATGTCTGGTGCTTTGAAGAGATGACTGAAGACACCATCAATAAAACAAAGGTGCACTAGTGATACCTTGCATTTTGGACTGGTCTATTGATGGCGTCATCCACCATCTCACCATGGCAACCACCACTACTTAGATCTATAGCTATACCCACATGGAAGAAAAATATATTTGAAATATATTTTAAAAATATTCTTCCCAAATATAATGACATATATTTTAAATACTACAATTTTGGCCGTATTCAATATATTTAAATATATATATATATATATATATATATATATATATATATACACTGTATGTTGAAATGCGTTATTATTACAAAATATATGAAAAATATTTTTAAAAAATAAATTTTCAAATATACTGTATGTCTTTAAAAATACAAATCTCCATTTTTAGAATGCATTTAGAAATATATGTAAAAATATATGTTAAAATGACTTTTTTATATGTTAAAAAAAATCTGAAGAATATATTAAAAAAAATATATTTTTAAAAAAATTTTTCATATATTTTTTGATATATATATATATACCGTATTTTTTGCCGTATAAGATGCACCTGACCATAAACAGTACAGGAGATGACCAGACAGCACAGGGATGAGATGCGGACACACAGGGATGACCAGAGACTGCGGACAGACAGGGATGACCAGAGACTGCGGACAGCACAGGGATGAGACTGCGGACACAGTACAGGGATGACCAGAGACTGCGGACAGTACAGGAGATGACCAGAGACTGCGGACACAGTACATGAGACTGCAGCACAGTACAGCAGACCACAGGGATGACCAGAGACTGCGGACAGCACAGGGATGCACAGGGATGACAGAGACTGCGGCACAGGAGATGACCAGAGACTGCGGACAGCACAGGGATGACCAGAGACTGCGGACAGCACAGGGATGACCAGAGACTGCGGACAGCACAGGGATGACAGACTGCGGACAGCACAGGGGATGACCAGAGACTGCGGACAGCGGTCAGAGACTGCGGACAGCACAGGGATGACCAGAGATGCGGACAGCAGGGATGACCTTTACAGGAGATGACCAGAGACTGCGGACAGGATGACTGCTGACCTTTGGAGGTGGGGAGTGGGTACCTGAATTTGACAGGTACCCGATCTTACCTGTTCCTCGATCCAGCCGCGCGCTGTCTTCCCCCCGGCTTGTAATGGCGCTCGGCATGACAGCCGGGTGCCCAGTGCGCATGAGCGAGAAGCACTTGCGCTTTGTGATTGGTCCGGCGGCTTCTGGGATCTGTCATGTGTCCCAGCTGCCCCCTTACCATTCACAAAGCGCACTGCTTCTTGCGCATGCGCACTTGGCACCCGGCTGTCATGCCCATGCCCACACTACAGAAGCCGGGAAGACAGCACGCCGCTGGATAGAGGAACAGGTAAGGTCCCGCTGCAGAGCTGAGCGGCCGGCCCGGTATTCTGACACGGCCGCGGTGGAAATACCGGACCGGCCGCTCCATATTCGCCTTATAAGACGCACTGACATTTCTCCCCCAGTTTTGGGGAAGAAAAAGTGCATCTTATACGGCGAAAAATACGGTATATATATATATATATATATATACATTCAGTTGTATCCGACCCTTGGTGATTGCATGGACTGTCCCTCGTAAGCGACTTTTTCCATGAATTCTCTTAGCAATTATTTCACAGGGTAGGTTGCCAGGTCTTTCCCCAACCCCACCATGCAGGATTCTACATGGCCAGGGATGAAACTAGGACAATTTAGACAGGAGCCAATTAACCTACCAGCATGTCTTTGGAGTGTGGGAGGAAACCGGAGTACCTAGATGAAACCCACGCAAGCACAGGGAGAACATGCAAACTCCAGGCAGGAGGCACCATGGTTGGGAATTGAACCCATGACCCATGACCCATTTACTGCACGGCAGACATGCTAACCACTAAGCCACTGTGCTGCCCATTTTATATATATATATATATATATATATATACATATATATATATATTTATTGAAATATATTTGAAATATATTGAATATGGCCAAAATGGTAGTATTTCAAATATATGTCAATGTATTTGGGAAGAATATTTTTAAAATACATTTCAAATATATTTTTCTTCATACGAGTATGGAGTGCATTGGATCCCATGGACAATAAGCAGTTGGTTCACCAAACCCTGAGTCCAGCAACCTACTCATGGTGGCCCTTCACTGTCCCTTTTATTCTCATCTCTAATCTAGAAAAGTAAAAAAGGAAACTGTGATTTTTTTTTTTGGAGGGGGGGGATGAAATCAATTTGTCAAAAAAAATGCCTGTTGTGGTTCATCACAACTCATGACAGCCAGTCAGAAAAACAGTTTCTGAGGACCAGCTCTGCGCTGTCCTCTGATTAGTAGATATAATTTATTACACGTCATTACTTTTTCAACATCAAGGCATGAAATGCGCAATAATGCCATAAACTTGTTACGAATGTTGAGCCGCTATGTGTACTCTGTCCCCACCTAGTGGCTGTATAGTAGATCCCCATAACTGCAGAGTTTTAGGGCTCATTCATGTCTGCTGAGCATCAGTATATCTGCCTGCCGTACAGGATGTATGATCAAGCATATATACTGACAGGAAGCTTCAATGACTACCACGGCGCTCCCCGCTATGGCTGCCGGGACTTGCCCCCTGTGGCCACGCTGTTTTCAAATCTGACAGATAATACAGGGAAACGTCTCCCCATACTATCTGTCAGAGGGAGGGGGCGGCGGGGGCAGAGGGCGTGGCTGCGGCTAGGAGAATATGTTACATGTTCCACCCTAAAAATGGGTGGAACAGGTAACATGTTCCAAAGGTGAACTTATCCATAAAAAGAACCTTTGCCCCCTTATATCAGATGGCCCTATCAGAGTTCCCTTTATATCAGGAGTCCTCATCAGAGTACCCCTTACATCAGGTGTCTCCATCAGAGTGTCTCCATTAGAGTTCCCCATACATCAGGGTCCACCTTAGGAGTTCCCCTTCACATCTGTGTTCCCATCTGAGCCCACCTTACTTCCAGGTCCCCATCAGAGCCTCTCTTTACATCAGGTTCCCATTAGAGTCCCCCTTACATCAGATGCCCCCATCAGAGTGCCCCTTACATCAGAGTACCCCCTTACTTCAGGTGTCCCTATCAGGGTGCCCCCTTACATCAGATGTCTCCATCAGAGTGCCCCCTTACATCAGGTGTCTCCATCAGAGTGCCCCCTTACATCAGGTGTCTCCATCAGGGTGCCACCTTACATAAGGTGTCTCCATCAGAGTGTCTCCATTAGAGTTCCCCATACATCAGGGTCCATCTTAGGAGTCTCCCTTCATGTCTGGCTTCTCATCTGTGCCCACCTTACATCCAGGTCCCCATCAGAGCCCCCTTACTTCCAGGTCCCCGTCAGAGCCTCCCTTTACATCAGGTTCCCATCAGAGTCCCCCTTACATCAGATGCCCCTATCAGAGTGCCCCCTTACATCAGATGTCCCCGTCAGAGTGCCCCCTTACATCAGGTGTCTCCATCAGAGTGCCCCCTTACATCAGGTGTCTCCATCAGAGTGCCCCCTTACATCAGGTGTCTCCATTAGAGTGCCCACTTAAATCAGGTGTCTCCATCAGAGTGCCCCCTTACATCAGGTATCTCCATCAGAGTGCCCCCTTACATCAGGTATCTCCATCAGAGTGCCACCTTACATGAGGTGTCTCCATCAGAGTGTCTCCATTAGAGTTCCCCATACATCAGGGTCCATCTTAGGAGTCCCCCTTCACATCTGGGTTCCCATCTGAGCCCACCTTACTTCCAGGTCCCCATCAGAGCCTCCCTTTACATCAGGTTCCCATCAGAGTTCCCCTTACATCAGATGTCCCCATCAGAGTGCCCCCTTACATCAAGTGTCACCATCAGAGTGCCCCCTTACATCAAGTGTTCCCTTACATCAGGTGTCCCCATCAGAGTGCCCCCTTACATCAAGTGTCCCCATCAGAGTGCCCCCTTACATCAAGTGTTCCCTTACATCAGGTGTCCCCATCAGTGTCCCCCTTACATCAGATGTCCCCACCAGAGTTCCCCCTTACATCAGGTGTCTCCATCATAGGTCCCCCTTACATCAGGTGTCCCCATCAGAGTTCCCCCTTACATCAACAGTCTGCATCAGACTGGCTCATGGATTAGTGGATGCACTCTCAGAGACCTGGGAGGAGCACAGCTAAAATCTGAGAGGGGGGCACAGCCCATCCCACCACCCCCCTAGATCCAGCCCTGCTCAGCAGGACAGAACCCCAGACCCCTCAGCTCCTTTTCATATGGTATGACCTGCAGCGGGTGGTGGATCTTCCTCTTTGAGACCCCTTCCTCTCTGAGTCATCAACCAAGCAGGTCAGCCCAAGGATACAGCACATGCATCTATACTGTAGCAGTTTAGCTGAAGAACAGCACAAGACCCAGGTACCTGCAGAACATAAGTCAGCACAGTAGTAAAAACATTAACCCTTGGGAAGCACTTGTTTACAAGGGGTCTACAAGAAACTAATTGAGTGCTCTCACGAGTGAAAATACAAGATCTTTCCAAAGTGGTGCCCGGCGTAGTGTTTTGGCCTCCGGCCACAGGGGGGGGTGCTCACTCAACATGGTGGACAGGAGCATGATCAGATGATGTAATCTCTTGTGATTGGCTGTTGCAGCATAGAGCGTTATAGATGATGCTGTGGTACAGAAATGTTCTTACCACATGGTAAAAGGGAAGGTGGAGGCTACATCATCTTACTTCATCAGCAATTTCCATGGAAGTTTCCCCAACCAGAACCAGAACCAATGCCTGAAAAACTGGATACCAGCCTTCATTACTAGACCAGGCAAGGCTTTTCCATGTGTCTTTTTGAGAACTGGGAGGTGCTGCGCCCTTTATGCCCGCAATGTCAGAGGGTATGAGAGCAGGTGCATCCTTGGTTCCCAGTTTTCCGGGTGTTGGACATTCCTCTTTGAGGCACTGGTCCTAGTGGAGGAGCCCCAGGATCTAAACAAGATCTGCTCTTCAGTCCAACTTATCAACCACCCTGGGGGATAATACAGTGCAACTCTGAGACAGCTGCCTCTGATCCCCCTGGACACAACTGGATCAGATTGGTCACACTGCACCCTGATTCCCCTAAGCTGCAAGGAGTTGAGTTGGTGCATGGGGGATCCAACAGAGAAAGTGTCTTGCTGGAGCCTCCTATGCATCCCAAAGTGAACTTCGTTGAACTGGAACCGACGCTTGCCCAGTTCCAGTTTACAGCAGAAATTGACTTGAAGGACGTGGGATTGGATCCTGTATCAGAGCTAGCAGCTTCATCCTTACTGCCATTTACATCTGGGGACTGGAGTGGAGAACCCTCACCTATGGATTGCAATAATGAAGAGCTGGATATGTTAGAGAACCCTCTGCAGCAGGTGCCCCATGGTGGAGCAGGACCTCCTGTGACTAGCACTGTGGCTGGAGATAATGGACTGTCCTTCTATGTGTTGGCTGAGAGACCCTGTCAGGAATGGGCTCAGCACAGGTGGTGCTGGGGCTCACCTGCCTTGTGGGATGCAGTACCAGTGCTGGCCAGCAGGTGCTCTCAGCAGCCAGAATCTCACTCCTGCAATCAAGCCACCACCTGAGGCTGATTGCAGGAGGTGTATTTAAGCAATGGCCAGGCCTGCAGTCAGTGCCTTGATGTTTGTTCCCATGAGCCCCTGTGCCTGATATTCCTGCCTGATCTGCTAGAACTCTGCTTGCACCGACCCCGACTATTCCTAACCACTCTCCTGCCTGCTCCTTTCTACCTTGTCTGCCCGATAGTTACCGACCCGGCCTGCCTGACTACGTTTGTGTTCCCGCACATACTGGGATCTGTTGGAGGTTTTGGAGGTTTGGTTCTTGCACTGTGTGTTTGGGTGTACTGTGTAAATTTTTATAAATTATATTGTTTTACTCCATACTTGAAGCCTGCATTTCCCTGTGTCAGTCCACACATCTCTGTTCATACCTGGAGCCCTGACAGACCCCATTTTGCCTGCATGGAGAACTTTGGTGGGGCTCCGGATACTTACTTGTCCACAGGAGCAGTTCCTCAGGTACCTCCTAGCCCTCCAGCTGTGCCTATTGAAAGGACTGGGCATTAATACCAACGTTCTGCGAATGCTTACCTCCCTCAGGATTCAGTCCATTTTCAGGCAAAGATCACCCAGCTGGCATGGCTGCAACATTATTTTGATGCATATGTTTGGGATATCAAGTACTATTGGGTGTTCCCCTATGTCCTGGAAGAACTGTTCCATCAAAGAGAGGAAGAGTGACCTAGAATCTATAGCCCTACCATCTGGGAGAAGCTGCTGGTATCACAACATCTCCGGTATTTCAGGCTGCAGAACAAATTCATAGAAGCAGAGTTCCACCACCTTTACCGGGAGTACAATGTTGGAAGGCACATCCAGATGGACCAGATCGAAACAGTAAAGCCCATTGTTATGTTCCCCAGGGGCACTCGTTTGGTCACTGGTAAACCTAATTCTTTGCCAGATCCAGCCTTCTACATTTGAACTCCAATGTATAACTGTTTCTATGCTACGAGTTTTGTTTAACTGTTGCATATTTATGTTGCACTGTTATCTTTGCACGGTGTACCTTACTATATTAAGGTATTGAAGTGTTGTGCTACCGTTTCCTGGATTTTTCTTGGCGGGCTTTTTTGGCCCAGCCCACTGTAGCATTACCAAAGTTCAGATTCAGGGACCATTTTGCCATGATCTTAGCTTTTGCCTTGTTCTGTCCTTGCCCATGACCAGCTTGGAGCTATAGCCTTGGATTACCGCAGCATGTAGGACATTGCTGGGACCTGCAGTCTACACTTAAGAACACCAGCTGCTGGAGCACCGCCCTAATGCACTTGCCTTGTCTTGGGAGTTAACCTGTGCAGGTATGCTGGGGCAGCCAAGCCTGAGTTAGAGGCTAGATTAGGGAAAGACTGTTGCCTTTGTTAATTGTAATGCTTAAATTATTCCAGTAAAGCTTTAAGAACTTTTTCATGCCTGGTGTCACTGTAACGGAACCAACCCCAGACTGCGCTTGAGTATTTCTGTTAGAATACCACACTTCCCCGTCTGAACACTGACAACAGACACCACAGATTCAAAGTAAGCCAGAAAGTAGACTAATTTATTTTAACACAGATACACGATATATACACTAAGGGAACAGTCCCCCCTCCCTGCATAATGACAAAGGGTGGGGCAATCTACATTAAGTAACAAGAGACACACCAACAGACAGTCCCATCAGGAGGGAGGGCTGCTGGAGACACCCCCCACCAAGCCAATACACATAAAAACACATATATCCCATAATAGTTTCTTCCCAAGCCAGACACACAACAGAACAGTGGGATACAACCCCATAACACCAAACAATCCACAACCCCCACCCCACCTATCTCCTATACAGGTCTACACAATATTAGGACAGATCACCCTATACCCCTAACAGGCACAGGGTGACTTACACATAAGAGGGATATGGGGATCTGAGACAGGGGTCTCCCCACCTCTCCAAAGTAAGCTGGGTTCCATGGGCCTCCCACCCAAAGTGACTCCCGTCACAGTCACGTACCTGGTGGAGATCGAGCTGGAGAGGGGGCTTTTCTTGCACCTATTGTCCAACACCCCTGGCAGTGATGAGAAGAGGAGGTACGAGGGCCAGTGTAACAGGCAGCACCAGCTGGTGTTTGCAGTAAGCAGATGACCATAGATCACCAGGCAGGAACCAGGAACTGGAACACGGTGACACTTGGTTGGTAGACAGCAGCGTAGCCAGGACACAAGCCAATGGGTCATCAACAGCTGGGCAGCGAGGTGCAGGAATATCAGGTAGAGGACAGAGTCAGAATACAAGCAGGGATCGGTACACAGCGAGGCAGCGAGCTGCAGGAGGAGAAAGGAGCAGAGTCAGAATACAAGTTGAGGTCACAGCAGGCAGGCGGAATCCAAGAACAGGTCAGGAGCAAGCCAAAACATACATGGGTAGGCAGGTAGAGCAGGTCAAGGCTCAGGATAACCAGGAATTAGCTGGAGACCACTCAGCAATCCATTCATGTCACAGTCCAGCCTAAATAGGCCATTTGGCCCCAGTGAAGGCGTGCGTGTGGTAGTTTGAGCACGTTTTAATACATTTGCGCATGTGTGGTACTGCCCGCTTTGCATTGAGCCTTTGTTCAGAATTATGAGCATGCACACGAACATGAGCATATGACAGTCTTTTAGTTCCAACATGTAATGAGCTTCTGAAGTTATCCGAGGAACAGGGGCGGACTGACCATTTGGAAACTCGGGCACTGCCCGAGGGCCGGGGTCAGTAGGGGACCCCATGAGATGCCCCTGGTACCTTTTTCATAGGCTTTTTTGAGTTTGGGCAAGGACACAGGGGCCCCGTGATCCCCTATTGCCCAGGGGCCCCATGAGTTGTCAGTCCGCCCCTGCCAAGGAGTGTATGAAAGTAACCAGCACCACACATAGGGTTGATTTACTAAAGGTAACTATACTGTGCACAGCAAGTGCAGTTGCTTTATATCCGAGGGGAAGCTCTGAAATGAGGCGAAGCTCTGCTGATTTCTTTCATCCAATCAAAAAAGTCCCGACTATGTATACTGTATAATCTCTCTCTCACAATATATCAATTATCTGTATATAGTGTGCGGGGGATCTATACTGTATACAGTGTGCGGGGGATATATACTGTATATAGTGTGTGGGGGATCTATACTGTATATAGTGTTTGGAGGATCTATATTGTATATAGTGTCTGGGGGGATCTATACTGTATATAGTGTCTGGGGGATCTATACTGCATGTAGTGTCCAGAGATCTATACTATATAGAGTGTCCAGGGGATCTATGCTGTATATAGTGTCTGGGGGATCTATGCTGTATATAGTATACAGGGATCTATATTGTATATAGTGTCTGGGGGATTTATACTGCATATAGTGTCTGGGGGATCTATACTGTATATAGTGTCCAAGGATCTATACTGAATACAGTGTCTGGGGGATCTATACTGTATATAGTGTCTGGGGGATCTATACTGTATATAGTGTCCAAGGATCTATACTGAATACAGTGTCTGGGGGATCTATACTGTATACAGTGTCTAGGGGGATCTATACTGTATATAGTGTCTGGGGGATCTATACTGCATATAGTGTCCAGGGATC